GCTTGATTTTCCTAGTACAGACCGCTCCATATTGGGAGCGTAACAAATACCATTGATGAAAAAATTACGATCAAAAATTGCCAATAGTGTAACGGGTATAATAAAAACACATTTTTTCATAATCCTACTAGTCCGTGAAAAAAAGTCATGTCGTTTTCATTTTCGATTATATTGTAGTATAATATACAGTGCACGAAAAAAGTAATGAGAATGATGTTTTTATTCATTTCACAACGAGAAAAGGTTATAAGTGCATAAAATTTTACAAATTTACTGTTAGTGATACGACAAATAAGTTTACTTAAGGCTACTCAATAGTTTATCTTATTACCATTACCCGCAATCACATCCTCCAATCTTCTTGACATACTACGAACTAAATTAACAAAAGTTTCAGTTTCGATTCCTTCCCATTCTTTCTGAATTATCTCACGAAAGCAATCTGTAGTAACTGGTTTTTTTTAACCAATAATTTGTTGATTTCTCTCTCTACACGACCCTTTAAAATTGCCCATAAATTTTCAATTGGGTTAACATCTGGACTATTGGATGGCCAATCCATTATCTTTGGGCATCGTTGCACAAGAAGTTACATGGTTTCCTTAGCTTTATGCTTCGGATCGTTATCCTGCTGGAACATCCAATTTTTTCCCATGATGGTATTTGAATTGTCAGAGAGATTTTCAGTTAAAATCTTACGGTAAAGGGCACCGTTCATTATATCTGTAAAAAGGAAGAAGCCAATTGGTCCTTTTACTGAAAAGGCACCCCATGCGTGAATTTTATATGGATGTTTTACCATAGCTTTAATTGGAGGCTGTGTACCGATCTTGTAAAACACTTTTTGAGTATTTCGGAATATCTGGAATGTAGTTTCGTCAGAAAAAATAACCTTGTTCCAGTTTTGTTTCCTGTATTTTATGGCAAATGCTACTCGATTTTGTTTGTGACTGGTTGTAAGAAGAGGGATAGATTTGGGAACTGTACTGCGATATTGCATGTTATGAAGGTCATTGAGCACTGTCCAATTACTGACATTTAGGTCAAGATTATGGGCGTTTAAAATATTTGCAAGTTCAGTGCTTGTAGAAAATTTGTTTACTGAGACGAGTTGACCTAGATGACGATGTTGTTTAGGAGAAAGTTTCTTTGGACTGCCAGATCAGGGTAGAGGATTCAAAGGAATATCATCTTTGAGTTTTTTTATGTGTTTGTATATAGTGGAAAGTGGAATAGAAGTCAAATCATGTAAAGTGTCAGCATCACGAGTTCCAGCCTCCCACGAAGAGGTTATAACCATATAACGTTGTTTTAATGGAGTTTCAGTCATGGTGTATTGAAGATAAAATTGGAAAATACATACAAAAAATCAAAACAAAACATAATCACATTATCTAATAACATTGTTAAACCTGTGATACAACCGGTTTCTTTAACTAGTTGAATATGGCGAAGAAAATCGGGTTTTATTATAGTGTATTTTATTCTCATTACTTTTTTCGCGCACTGTATCTAGATTGGCTGTATAGAGAGATTTTTTCAGGTAATAAATACCAGTTGTGAAAAAATCGTGACTAAAAAACACTAAAATCATCATATTGCAACGAGAAAGGTCTGGGACACTTTACCGACACCTACTTACCGACAGGACACTTTACCGACAAGACGCTTTGCCGACACCCACTTTACCGACAGGACATTTTACCGACAGGACGCTTTGCCGACAGGACACTTTACCGACAATCTAAGTAAAGTCGAACTTGACGTAGAAATGGTCTTGCGCGGAACACCACGACTCCCACAGAAACCACAAGATCGTAATCGTGGAATACGGATTCAAACAGTATTAAATGACCGTAACATTAGATCAACTATAAAGTTTCTTCGGGGCATTGCCCATAATATTTCATTTTAAAATTTTTTTTTGTGTATATAAAAATAAAAGGTTTTTTGTAAATAAGAATATGCAATTTTTATCAATTTCGTCAGACAAAAAAAATATATATTACACATGTATCTATATTGTATTTTTATGAACTTATTTTTGATGCAAAGTAAGGATAATAAGTGGTGTTATTAGTTAATTAACGGTTGATTTAACTTGTTGTAAAAAACCAAATTTTTAGCTAGTTATCCAGGTCTTCACACAGTCCTTGGCAAATTGTTAACACAATACTTGTCGACAAAGTGTCCTGTCGGCAAAGTGTCTTGTCGACAAAGTGTCCTGTCGGCAAAGTGTCTTGTCGACAAAGTGTCCTGTCGGCAAAGTGTCCTGTCGGTAAAGTGTCCTGTCGGTAAAGTGGGTGTCGGTAAAGTGGGTGTCGGTAAAGTGTCCGGGTCCGCAACGAGAATAATAAAAATCCATATTTTCATAATCCTACTAGTTCGTGAAAAAAAGTCATGTCGTTTTCATTTTCGAGTATGTTGTAGTATAATATCTGCTTTGACTGTACAGAGAGATTTTTTCAGGTAATAAATACCAGTTGTGAAAAAGTCGTGACTAAAAAACACTAAAATCATTATATTGCAATGAGAATAATAAAAATCCATATTTTCATAATCCTACTAGTTCGTGAAAAAAAGTCATGCCGTTTTCATTTTCGAATATGTTGTAGTATAATATATCTAGTTTGTCTGTATAGAGAGATTTTTTGCAGGTAATAAACACCAATTGTGTAAGAAATCGTAACCAAAATCACTAAAATCAACGAGAATAATAAGAATCCATATTTTCATAATCCTACTAGTCCGTGAAAAAAAGTCATATTGTTTTCATTTTCGAGTATGCTGTAGTATAATATATCTAATTTGAATGTATATAGAGATTTTTGCGGGTAATAAGTGCCAGTTGTGAAAAAATTGTGAAATAAATTTTTTTTTAAAAAAAAAAAATTTCGCCATGAAATTCTCAGGTAAAATCCGCTCATATTGATTTACATAATAACATTAATTACCGTAACTGAAACTGTATCTTCTAAACGTTCTATTTCTCAACTTTAGTAAACTGAATTTTTGGGGAAGGAAGAGATCAAAATCAAAAGATAAAACTTTGTGATGAAATGATATTTGAAATTTGTTAATTAATAAAATTGAAATTTGAACAGGAATATTTTCGTTTTCCAAAAATAATAAATGGTTGTGGTTATTTTTACGTCACCGTATTGTGCAAATCCCAATTGCTATCTGTTTGTCATGATTTGTGAAACTGAAAAACTTATCTGTTTTGGTTCAAAACGTCAAGGTTGAGCGAAACAGATACTTGACTGAAAGGAAATTGTGTTTCGCTTTAGATGTTTTTTGTGTGGTGTCAACCGCTGTCTATCATTAGATCTTCGTCTTTCTCTGACGTTTCAGACCGTTCAAAATAACCAAAAACTGATGGTCTTATCTTGGAACCTTTACCTCGGATCGTCAAAGGCTTGTGTGATATTTTCTGGTCACGAGACCGGGATTAAAAACACTTTAACATTTTATTTATTGTCATTATCGGTCAATTCAATGATCGATAAACAAACAATGTGTACAAATTTTTTTTGATTGTGGATGATCTGGATAGGAAAGTTTATATTATTATTTTATCTGGTTAAGAAAAATTTTATTTTAGTTGAAATAATCTTTGCAAAAGATTTTTCTTTATTAAGAAAAAAAAAGCTTTGTTGATTTTTTTTAACAATTGAAATTTATAAATAACTTTTGATGTTTGCATGAAGCTTGTTCTTCTATAACGATAGACTTGGAAAAAAATATCCAATTAACCCATTGATCTTTAATCTGTGATAAATAAATAAACACGAGGAAAAGATTAGGACAAAAAGGTCTTTTTTTGATAGCTTTGTTAATTTTTCTAACAATCTAAATTCGTGAATAACTTTTGATTCACATATGGTTCTTCTTTGATGGATCCTTTATTAAATTATTAAATTCGCGAACCATTTCCCCTTGTATGTGAACAAACAAACAAATAAATTTTTTGCTCAACGTAACGAATAAAACAAAATATTGATATAATAATAATATGACTGTCTAATGTTGATACTCTG